CCGCTTCCTGATACCGATCGTCGTGGTAGACGACCAAGTGGTCTAATCAGCCCGCAAGAGTACCAATCGACGATCATCATCTACCACCTACCGGCGATTAGCTTAGTCACAAGCCTGGCCTACCGTAACTGTTTCTTTTTTTTGAGATCAATCCTCCCTCTCGAAGCCAAAAAGGTGACCTTTTCAAGTCGATTCCATCAGACATAATGGAAGCCCAGCGACGTTCAAGAAATGTTTTATTCCTCCATTCGTCATTTCTGGATGCTACGTTTCTCTGATCTTCCATAAGAGGGTTTTCACAGAGCCTTAACGGTGTATATTCTAACGGTGTCTGCTTCTGCTATGGCTGCACTTATGTGTGAAGGTTTCCTCTGGCGTTTTGCCGATGTTAGCTTTGTTCATTAGACCGCAGACACCGTGCTTTCTTCAGTTATTATGACATCATTTGTTGTCTATTACCTGACGCTGACCGATGATCGAAACGTCAGCTCTATATTTAAAAAACTATCTGTTTTTTTTGTCTGGTGTTGCTGACCACAGAATCTGCATGTGCATCCGTTTTTCGCTATCCACGGCACCGTATCGGCATGATGTAAGAAGTTAATGTCACTTCTGGAATGCTGTGCAACATGGCATAGGGTAAAGGAGGGTAAAAGCATGCAAGGATTGGCTACATAGCTTAGATCATCAACCTTCATTTTAACGTTTTAGCTGAAGGAAGCATATTTAACTTCTAGGCACGGTAACATAGAGACTCGCTAAACAAACTTACGTATTTTCTTCCTAATTTCAACTGAGTTGCATGACGGAAGGAAGCCCATTTTTGAAGCGTAGTCCCGGCAGTACCAAACTCGAAGTTCCGTATTTTCCTTCAATGGTTTCAAGGAGTAGAAGTAGATTTCGGTTTTCACCTAAGAACGAAAAAAGCATGTGTTGCAACAGTGAGCAAAAAGAGACGTCAAATTCTTACCTGGCAAGCGACCAAGTTCTGCACGGCGCTGTCCGTCGCTCGTCTGACGTAACACATCCAGTTGCTAGTTCTTTCGTCGGACGTGTCGATGACGAACTTCACGGAGTCATCGTCGAAAACCTGATGTAGCACAAGTTCAAGGTTGAAACTTGCCGCGTCGGATCACTCGAACCTACCTTCCATCGGCAACCGGCTACCGCGGCAGAGTCGGCGTCGTCTTCCTTGAGACAGTCGGCATCCACGTGGGTGCCCAACAGCGGGCCGAATCTGGTGAACTGAGGTATGAAGTCACATGTGAACACGGCAAAGCCCTGAAAGTACCTCGTCTCATAGCAGCATAATCATATCGACACGTGACGTCGCCGAAGTACCTTATCAGCAGCGGTCGATTGTCTTAGTTCGAGGTTCTTTGGTAGACTGTCTTTGGCATGGTGGCCAGACGGCGATCCATCGGCAATCCGGTCTGGAACGTGGTAGACGCAACAGTCTTCAAACTCAGGAGCCGTTTTCATCGTCCAGTCGTCGAACTCGCTCGAATCTTTCCCCATCACTATTTGGCCAGTCTGAAGCACCACCAGTAGAGTACGCGTTTAAGCGAAAAGTATTTAAACGTCGTCGCTCACTTCCGCAAATGCGCCACAGCAACGTATAATCGACATCGTGTACAGTAGAGGTCAAGGCCAGTACTTATGTAATATGAAAGGAGGTAAAATATTGAATTAAGGTGACAGCTTGCTACTTCCGCAATCAATCTCCTGTGGAGCAGTTGCTCACTGTTTAACAGTACGTAATACCTTCTATCACAGGTTCCAGATTTTGCCCAAGTGACCTTTGACCCATATTCCTATATCAGTCAGATAGTTTAGACGACCGCTTATAAATTTGGGTCGCGGACACAGACGTGTCAAAGAGTGTCTCCAACGTTTCCGATTATAAGCCAGAAGATAACTAGAGGCTGAATCATAGTCCTTCGATATAATTGCCTCAGGTTATTCTTGGCCAACATTGAGGTTTCCGCCAGATCGGTTGAGTTAGTAGTAGCTGTTTCGTATTCCTTTCTAAACACATTTGCAAGATATCCCAAAACCATCATGAGCGTGACTTCTCAATGTGCGATAACAGCAACTGCATACCCAGTCTATCTTGAATATCTCGTCTCTGGCTGGACCGTGTCGAGACGCGTAGTCCAGCGATTCTTCACAGAAGGCCCATTTCAGCCGAGGTCGAAGTTTTTCAGCCATTGCCCCTGATTCGCAACTGCGACTGTAAAGGAGCACTGGGACGAATATCGACTTGAACACAGAGGGCTAACATTTCAGACTCAGCTTCGCTTTGATCACACCGTTTCGACTACTCCATGCAGGACGCTGCTGACCATTCCAATTCGCAGCTGGTCGATCGCTTCCTCAAATTTTCCGTCACCAATAAACACCACCCCTAAGGTACACGAATATCCGCACTTGTTCTACTGCTTTACTTTCGCTTGGAGAGCGACGAGGCAGAAGCGCAGCATTGGCACGCACGTCGGCCACCTCAAGCTTGGCAGCGAGTCTTTCCAGAGAGCGATGGAGATCGGCTTCTCAAAATATCAACAACGAAAGGTCATCTGCAAGCTGCCACCTTCCTGACCCCACATTTTCTTTCTGCACTCATAAACTCTTCGCCCTAGCTGCTCTTGAATACCCCACCTACGAACAACACAAAATAGACGGGTTACAGAGCACAGCCTTGCCTACCTATATCAAGAATTTCAAATGGAGGCACGAACACGGTTCAATTATGCACAATGCAAAAAAGCTCGCATATCGAATGGCACATCAATGCGGTCAGTATCTCACGGAGTTTCTTCATTGCAGGGATGATTATTATTGATATGATTATTATTGGACTATCATTTTCACTGTTGCTTTAGCAGCTATAATGCGTCTATCATTCGGTACGCCGATTGTCTGTCTTGTTTAAGCGACTGCCAATGCACGAGCAGAACGCGCTTTCTTTGATACAACCTTCTGAGCTAATGTAATCGTTTAACTCTGTGGTGTTTACCCTAAACGAATAGAGGGGCACTAAGGAAATTAAACAAAAAAACCTGTTTGAACAGTGCATATAACTCTGCCAATGACGACGGCTTATGAGAATGATTTGCATCATACGTAAAATCTACAAGTTATAGATGTATTTATTTGTACAATCTATGTGATAAGATTCAGCAAACTTTTTAACGCAACAGTCGTAGGTACCATGGATCATGACCATGAGCTTTTCTTCTACCGGTCAAGAGGTCACAATATCGATGAATGGAACATGCTACGAAGACGTCAGAAGCAATGCTCAAAATTTTGGGAAAAAACGCACTGAAAACAGCCAAGAAAATATCTAAAACCATTGAACACATCATACGTTGAACACCTGACACTGTCACGTCATGGTATCTAATAGTGAAGCCCTACGATGCCCACGAACAGGGCTTCACTATTAGAAAAGCTTCCTAAATCTGCTTTCCCTTCTAATGGAAAAGCATCGACTTCTGGATACTCGATCGAGTACCTCTTCTCGGCACTAGATGGAGTACCACTTCTCTGCGTACATCGTTTTCATCGAGTACGAGAAGCGCGGAAACTCTCGTGGACTGTCCCGTTAGAACCGGTAATAGACACCCGTTACATCCGTTACAAGTAAACGAGTTGTGGTCTATTCGAAAAAATTATAACCTCGACAACCTCCCCCGATTCTCATACAGAAGGGCGTGAAACAGCGGAAACACCATTTCCCCAAATTGTTCTCTGTAAGAAATGTTAATCTGTTTGGAAATGATCTTCCAGAGAAACAACTGGAAAAATGGTGATGACTGAAGTTCTCAGAGAATGACGGACGTGTTGCGGACAGTACGATAAGACTCAACCAATCCAGGCGATCCAAGAAATTAATAAAAATTTTTATTCATTTATCAAAACTGCTTAGAAGGACAGCATCTGTAATGCATTTAAAACTTTTATTGATGTGTGTGCGTCGTGTCTGACGAACGGCATAGATTGAATGGCATGGACGATCTTCGTAATACAAAATTCAGGTAGATTTCAAATATAATAGGAAAAGAAACGAGGTTGTGCGTGGAGGGGGGTCAAAAATAACAATATTTCTATATGTCTAAAGTTTCAAAACGACATACCCGCAAATCTCGCTGTTCAGAAAAACTGAGGTCGGAAGAGGCTGCACAAACATGTTGTAATGTGATCATGCATCCATGCTTTATACCAAACGTAGCACTGAACAATTTCCATTTGGCTCGTATCATAGATAGATTGAACGTTTTATTAGTTGAATATATACCGAAAACAGCTGATGCAGTGCCGCACAGCCTTGGCAAGGAAAGACTGTATGTATTGATTGAGGTGGTCATCTAATATGACCTTGCATGAAGGTTTTGCATTCGATGATATTCAGATCTGTCATAGGCGCTGGCTTCTGCCACAGTGTGAAGGCCTCTGATGGGACAAGTTGTCGCGCCGTGATGATGCTCCATGGATCAGCAATGCACGGGCCACGTTGCAATGCATCTTGACCAACCTTACAGGCAATTAAATTCAGCACAGGGTATAACCCGTAAATTGGTAAATAAAATATAAGTAAACTATAAGTAATAATGCTTTTAAGGATATTTCGACTGTCTTGTCCCAGTGCAGTTCATTCAGAGAGTAGATGGAATGAGGAAAATATGTGATTATGGTTTGTTCAGGAGTTTACATGAACGGTCGTTAACAATCATCCTGTCTGTGCTTGCATTTAGCCATCTTCCATACCTTAGGGGCATAACGAGTTCTCAGTCTGTGCTTATCATTGTGTCGTTAGCCGACCATTTCGCAGTTCAGGACAAGCGCACAAGAGTGTGCATTGCATATGGTAAATTCGACGAAATGCAGTAGAGGTATGTTATAAAACTCACATGTGCCCTGATGTGAGGTGATGCAATTTCTTACATAAATTCCGGTCGCGCGTTCAGTGAATGTGGTTGGAATGGCCGCATTGCGGTCTGACCCAATTAATATTTGACCTGATCATCAAGCAAGGTAAAAGTAAATAAAACAGTCATTGGAAATGGTTTACCGTTTATGCACAAGATTGCATGGTAGGATATTGCTTTCGAATTTAAGCGTGACACAAATGTTTCATTTATAACCGACTGTTGTGGGCGAGGAATGCCGCAACACATGCGGTCGCAACCGGTTGCGAATCAGGCTGTACGGCAATGACCTCTCAGAAATTGGAACAGAACCATGCCGTGGACTGGTCATGCCGGAACTTACGCAACTTGGCGGCGCCATGTCGACGAGGGGTTCACGCTACATCGGCTGAAGTGGGTGCTCAGACCAGAACCAGCTGAAACTCGTACAGTTTGAAAACGCCAAGTTCGAAAACGGGGACCATTTTGAAGACTTCTGAGCAGCTACCCCGGTGAACAGAAAAGAATTGCGGCCATTGAAAATGAATCAGTCAAGCAATCAGGGAATGACAGTAAATGTGTTTCACGAAAGAAGAAACATGTCTTCGAGTGACTGTCACAAATTTCTGACCTTCCGACCTCGACGTTCTGAAATCCATGATCATCGCTGTAGCCATGACGAAAGCCATGGTTTTGAACTGGCTTACCCAGGCGCAGGCAAAACGCAAATTTACGGTGATCTTCTGTTGTATCAGCTCGGTATTATGATCACTTATAAATATGTGACTCATGGCTTCACCAGGAAGTCATTGATCTTAATTTCTTAATTACCGCCACGACACGATTACTGTCATGACTTTTGCCATCGATCGATTACTAGGGTTCAAAGTACGTTTAAGAAAGACGCCGCACATCAACTACCTCGAGACCGCATCCGTCAGGTTCTGTCTTGTTTTCGGCTTCAGCACAAGCAACGGATTGTTCGAATGGCGAGACGCAGAAGCTACAGTAAGAAGATGGCGCACCGTACGGAACGACGCCACCGTTCATCTCAGACCATGGCCATAATCACTGGCGTCTTTCTTAAACGAAAATCTTTTATTCACGCGTTTGCTCAGGGGATCGTATGTTTGTCACGGTAAATGCTAGCGTCGACCGGACGCTTTCCAACTTGAGTACAGCACCGCCACGGCCAACAGAAGTTTACTGATCGCCGAAAGTTCGAAAGTTCGTTGGTGGAGCCCCCTGCGAATTCCGTGAAGTGAACAGCTGCTAAGGCAGTAACATACGGAAATCGAGAAACACACGTTGGCGCCAAAAAAAGCTCGCTTAAGTTCTTGCCAATCCTGTGACTTTCATCGAACCCGCTCCAGTTTATATTGAAGGCATGACCATTGTGCAGATTTGACTGCTTAGGGCCTGGCAACAAATCACGAAAGTTACAGTAACGGTTATGGTTTTTCTCAATCAAAAATTCTTGGCTTTATGCAGTAAACAATTTACTGGGTTACTAGGTTTCACCCGTGAAGTGTTACCTTGCTTTCTATGATCCACCATTGTCAAGAGTGCTCGTCAATCAAAATCAGTGTGTTAATGAGGTCGACAACG